CGAGCGGAGTGGTCCAGCCGCAGTCGCCGAGATGAGTGCTCAACCAGGCGCCTTGGCCATCAATTACCGAGGCACCGAACAGATGCCGCCTCGGAGATTTGCTACGGTTCGTGGGCTTCGGTGGTATGGTATGCGGAGTTACGAGCCAACCAATTACACCCCACGGTCAGGCATGGGCGAAGGTACAACAGCACATTAGAAGCCTCTCGGCTAAGACCCTTCAACGCTTTGGCCTCGCCGGCACTGGCACGGTCACCTCTGTCACCTCTCACGTGTGCTGTGGCCTTGAGCCTCGAGTACTCAGCCAGAAACGCACTCAATCTCTATAGTGTCGCGGCCATCCAAGTCGGCCGCGGCCTCGAGCGCATCGTGGCCGAGGACAGTCGGGGCGGTTGGTTCACTCCTGGCATGGTGGCGACCAGGCCATCGCGAATTGGGCGCCCCGTGGAGCTTCGCGGCAGGCAGACCAGCCTCGCCGAGCTCGTAGGTCCCGACCGCGGCAGAACGTGCCATCTCTTATTCATACTTAGAGAGGTAGCTGGACGCTGCTCCTGAGATCTGGTGGAAGATGAGCTCCAAGTAGCCGACGCCCTGGGGGGTGGCTCCGATTCTTCGGATGCCGGCGCGCGCCCCGACGACTCCGCGCACGACCAGGGGAGGAGTTGAACCATGAAGGAGTCTCGCGAAGACTCGCGATCATTACCTCATCGGCACCACTTGGTGGACCTCTCTGCAACGCGCAACCAACGGGCAGTCATGGAAGATGCGTTCTTCACAGACTCGGTCACTGCCGAGGGAATCTTGTTGGCGGAGGCCCAACCTGCTCCGTCGTGCCCACTGCCGCAAGCCCCGCCCGCAGACACATCGAGACCGCAGGGGCCATCGACGCCAACGAGGCCCGAAACCCCATCGTGGAAATGTTTGCCCCTGACGAGATGCACGAGCTCATGTTGGATCATCTTGTTCCCGACGGTCACTGCGCGAACCTCCGCGTCTACGTGGCAGGAACCAAGATGGCAGTGGTCGAGCGCGGCGCTGACTTGATCACCCCCGAAGAGTTCCGAGAGCACGCCGCAGCCGTCGCTGCCGCTGTGCTCGAGGAGCAAGCATGGGTAGACCCCGACAGCTTCTCGCGACGTTCTCGCCGAGGAACGCGCTGCATCCTTGACTGCAGGTAGGTAGGCATGTGGAAAAAGGGCACGAATCATCCGCATGAGGCTGACCTTCCGAGGCTTCCAGGACGCCGACGCCGACCTCATCGCCGCATGCGCGGGCGCCTCATCGCGATTCTCCCAGCGCGTGATTGTCTCCGTGGCTGCTTGCCGAGGGTGGACGATCGATGCGTGGGGCGTCAAGAAAGCCTTCTTGAAATGCGCCAGCTACCAGTGACCCGTGGTGGCTTTGGGCGAGGAAAAGCGCGAGGTCAACCTTGAGCTGTCCCCCGACGCCGTCGCAGTCCAGTGCAAAGTAAAAGGGCGCAATGATTTCGACCCAGCACTTGTTGCTCTGCACGTGGAGAAACCATGCACCAGGGGCAGAGATGCCCCGAGATGCTGGTCCATCCGATTCCAAAAGATCGCCGATCAAATGTACCAGGCCATCCCAACACTATACGACAACGAGTTCATCGCCAAACACAAGGACGGCGAGCTCGCCCTACTGGCCACCAAACATGTTGACGGCATCAAGGTCACAGGATCACCTCAGGGGAATGCCAACTTACGTCGATGCCCGGAGATGCCATTGGTAAAGGTGAGCTACATGTCATTGAAGGAACTGTTTCATTTGTCGTGAGGCACGCCAGTCAAACTACATATTGAGCTCTGCCTTGGCTCGATGGGAGTGGTCACAGCCTTTCGGCTACGAGACCTAAGCCTCCGGCAGAACACTCGCTACTGCCGCGTGTGTTCTGGCGCAGCGACCTCCAGAGCTCGGGCCAGCTATGGGCCTTGAGCTGCGAGGGTACCCGTGACGTGATCGCCGATTGGCTGACCAAGGGCAGTTCACTGCCCTCCGCGACGTGGCCAGTCGCTGTCGCCAGCGGTCACATACGCCATGCGCTGTCACCCTCGGGCCGGTCGGCGAGCTCACCGTGCTATCAGGGCGCGAGCGCCAGCCGACCTCCGACAATTCACATATTGCAATGCATGCAGGAACTGCGCGCGCGCCATTCTCTTCGGAATTATCGGACCTGCCCAACCCCACCTCCACTGAAAGGTCTGTCACATGACGCAGGGTGGTTGAGAGGCCTCTTGTAGCACGGCAGTTCGGGAGAGCATGCTGTCGGGAGTCTACGCTGCGATGGTTAGCATTCGCTCTCGCATGAGTGCGGGTGAGCGCGCGCATGGACATGGCGGACGCAGTCGGGGCAAGAAGGGCCATGGAGAAGCATTATGCAGGCTTGTGCGCCGCCCAGCCGAAGCGCGCTGAGCTGCCGGCTGTGGCTCGCGCGCCGCCAGGCCCCCGCGCGGGCCCCCGCCGTGTGCCGCCGCGCGCTGGCGGCTTCCCGCTGCCGCGCGCGCGTGTCATAATGCCTCAGGATGAGCCGCCAGAGCGCCGGGGTCCGCCACCGCCTCGCCGCTCGCGTTCCGCACCCTCGTCGTCCTTGCCATCCACGGAGGGAGTGGCGTCGTCAGAAGATGCGACGCTCGCATCGACTGCAGGTCGACCCGCGCCACGGGCTCGATCTCCGACGTCCCCTCCAGGCACCCGGGCAAGAGTCGACGGCGCACCGGGGCCCCTGGCGATGGCCCGTCCTCCTGGCATGCCTCCGATGATGCCGCCGCCGAGCAGGCTCCAAGTTCGCGAAGCGGAGCGCCCGTTGCAGCAGTCCAACGAGACGAGGCGCGCGGTGTCAAGGTCATCATCTGTTTCACAAGGCCGCCTTCAGGCTCAAGGGCATCCCCGTTCCCGCCGCGGCAGCCGCGTGTAATTTTTGGCCGGCCCGTGCCGGCAAGGCGCCCGCGCTGGTGCCGAGCCCGCCGAGCGCACCACCTCCTCCAGAAGTGCCGGCCACGGCGCTCTCAGAGGGTGCTGGGCCACTCGCGGAGCTCGACGAGGAGATTGGGTTTCGTGCACAATTTAACATCGCGCGGGTCCTGTGCCAGAGCAGGTAAGGTACTCCGTCGCAGCTCGTTCAGCGCTGACGCGATGGATCCCGAGCTTCGCGCGGGACTCGCATGCGAAGCGATGAGAGTCCACGGCTGGACGACTGGTGATCGTTCTTAAATCGTTTTTTTTTTTTGTTGTTCGATCGCCGCGGGCTTTCGCCCCCCCCCCCGCGGAGTGGATCTTAGTTGTTTTTGGGGCCTGTTTCGAGCAGGCGGAGTCTTCCCCCCATGGGGCGCGCAGTTGCAAAGAGTCACATCAAGCAGAGGTCTGGAGCCGGACCCCCCCCCCCGCCCGCCCAACGTCGACGCGAAGCCCGCGCGTGCGAGCGCCCCGCTGAGCATCGCGGCCGCAATATTCACGACGAAACTTTATCATCAATGGAGTTCGTGGAGCCCTCAGCAGTGGGGCGAACGCAGGCGATGCTGGGCGCGGGGTGATGGCGCGAATTCGGTCAGGATCCGCTGGCCGCCCTCGACGATGCATCGCTCGGCGCACCCTCGTCCAAGAGCCGCCCGCCTTGCTGCAAACAGTTGGCGGCGCTGTCGCCGCGTGCGTTGCGCCCCCCATCACCTCCTGGCGAGCGCGTGTCGCGCATTCCTCCTCCTCGCCAACCTTCGCCCGAGGATCAGCCCCGGTCGCCTTCTCGCGAGGCTGCGTGCGACGAGGCCAGCGCAGCTTGCGGTTCGGACAGGAAACCGACGTTGCTGCGCCCGTCGGCCCCGCGCCCGTTCTGGACAAGGGCGGGGGCCAATTCGCCCATCGGCCCCCGAGGGCGCGCTGCGGTGATTGCCGGCAACGGCCATGGCGAGAACGAGGACTCGAGCGAGCCCGCGCCAGGCGATGCCGCCGACCTTCCCAAGAAAAGGAAAAAGACCAGAGGGCAGAGGAGAATGTCAAGCGCCGTCGCGCTGGCGCGGCCTTCCGCGCGGCTGGCGCCGATGAGCCACAGCAGCCGCCTTCGCCCGGGGGCAGCGCCCAGCCCTGCGCGCCCAACGAGGGAGTCGCCTACGGCGGTCGCGATCGGAGCGGCGCCCGCGGATCGCGACCGCGGTGAAGCCTCGAGGCGAAAGTGCTAAAATAGCTCGTGCATCCTTCAAGGTCTATCTCCATCCACCACCTTTTCTCCCACCTACCAGGTCGAGGCACTGTACCTCCACCTCGCCACTCGTGGCCCCGGAGCAACTATCAGCCTGAGCCTCAGGACAGGCTTTCAGACGCAGCGTCTGCGGCCCGAGGTCTCCAACATCACATAATGCGGCAGCACATTTTAACTCGCGGCATCATCGCTCACGCGCGTGAGTTCCTCCATAGCACGAACGAGCTTGCCATCGCAGTGGATGAGCCCGCGTCCTTGCTCCCGCGCCCGTCAGGTCAGACAGCGACGGCGTCTACCTGCCGAGTCCGGGAAAATGCTGGTGGTTGGCCAGTTATGGCTCCCTTCTTCCTTTGGTTTCTCCCTTCCGCCAGAGCTGTTCGATCGCCCGCGCAGTCCCGACTCAAGTAGGAAGGTGTCACCGCTGTTTGGCCCGAGCGTCGACGCATTTATTGCGTATGGAGAGTAAGAGCCTTGCAATATACAGCATATTGCCGCCATGCTCTCTCTCTCTCTCTCTCTCTCGTGAGGCTTCCAACCCCCGCAGTTATAGTTTCTCCTCCTCCTCCTTGCTTCTCCTTCTCTGCCTCTTCGTCGTCGTCGTCGTCCTCCTCCTCCTCTTCTTCCTCCTCCTCCTCCTGTCCTCCTCGTCCGCGCTTTGTTAGTTTGGGGCCTCCAGAAGCCCCCGGAAACGCCGTGGTGCTTCCAGGGCCTTCCGGAGTGCAGCAGCAGCGGGAGCGGGAGCGGCAGCGGCGACTCCTTCCACCTGTGGGCCCGTTGCCGTCTGGCCCCGCAGCTCGGAGCGGCGCAGCCGCAGCGGCAAGCCGAGAAGGTCGCGCAGCCGCTCCTCGAGGAGGAGGCTTGTGTCCAGGGGGAGGAGGATGATAGAGGAGGAGGAGGATGATGAAAAGGAGGAGGAGGAGGAGAAGGAAAAGGAAGAGGAGGAAGAGGAGGAAGAGGAGGAGGAGGAGGAGCAGGAGGAGGAAGAAGAGGAAGACGAGAGGAGGAAGAGGAGGAGGAGGAGGAGCAGGAGGAGGAAGAAGAGGAAGACGAGGTCGGGGACGGAGGGAGGAGGAGGAGGAGGAGGAGGAGGAGGGAGGAGGAGGAGGAAAAGGAAGAGGAAGAGGAGAAGGAGGAGGAGCAGGAGGAGGAGGAGGAAGAGGAAGAGGAGGTGGAGGAGGAGGAAAAAGAGGAGGAAAAGGAAGGGGAGGAGGAGGAGGAGGAGGAGGAGGAGGAGGAGGAGGAGGCGAAGGAGGAGGAAAAGGGGGAAGAGGAGGAGGAAGAGGAGGAGGAGGAGGACGAGGACGAGGAGGAGAAGGATGAGGAGGCGGAGGACGAGGAGGAGGAGGAGAAGGAGGAGGAGGAGGTGGACCAGTGTAAACCCAAGAGTCATCAACGAAGTTGGCATCATCCGTCCCCCAAGTTCCCCTTTTCATAGGCCCCTACAAGGGTTCATTTCCGCTGAAGGAACTGCTTCGTTGGAAGATAACCGTTTGAAGACCCTGAAACATGCCAAAACATTATTCTCGGGACTCCAACGCCACGGATCAACTTGACTGATGCGTCTTGACTATCGTGAATCAACCAGAACGCCGTTCTTGGGACTTCAACACCGCGAACCGACATAACTGTTGCAGCCTTGTAATCCTGAATATTTTCAGAACGCCATGCCTAGTACGCTGACCATGGGAATCCGTAAAACTCTTGAGTTTTGGTTAAACGAACCGCCCTCAAGCAGTGAAGGTTTTGCAATTGTTTATGCGAATGTGCTCGGCGCTAAGGCGAGCGAGAGGCATATTTTTATGCCACCCGCTTCAATCCGTGAAACTCTTGCAGTTTTGTAAAACGAAGGCGCGCGGCGCTAAGGCGAGAGCCACATTTGAAAACGACCCGCCCTCCATCCGTGAAGCTCTCGCACATTTTCAAAACCAATGCGCGCGGCGCTAAGGCGAGAGCCACATTTTCAAAGTGACACGCCCTCTATCTGTGAAACTGTTGTTAATGCTTCAGTTTTAGGGCCGTAATTGTTGAGGAAGTCTCAGGCGAGATTCCCGGCCCGCCCTTTCGACCGGCTTCGGGGTGCGACAGGCAAAAGTTATTAATAAGGCAAAGGAATGGATGATAATTATGATGCTGATGATGATGATGAGGAGGAGGAGGAGGAGGAGGAGGAGGAGGAGGAGGAGGTGGGGGAGGCGGAGGAGGCGGAGGAGGACGAGGAGGAGGTGGAGGTGGGGGAGGGGGAGGAGGAGGAGGATTGGAGGGTGAAAGAGGGGGTCTGCAACAGGGGGTCTTCAATGGGGGCTGAATGGCCCATGTATGCTCAATGTATCGCTCATGTATGTGACCGGGTATGATTGGCATACAATGTTGGCGGTCATGGAGGGCCAGTCGTTCGTGCCCGCGCGTTGCCCGCGCGGGCAAACGCGCCGTCCATCCAGCATCGTTCATGCGTGCGGGCGTTCTTGCATATTGCGCGTCGGGCGGCGAAGTGGAGTGCAAGTGTGTCTTGATTGTGCGATTGATGATCGCGTATGTCCCAAACTACGACTTGTCGACCCCCAAGACAGATTTGGAATGGGTCCCGCGATTCTCCCAACATGTGAATTCACATTTTCCTTTTTTCCAAAAGTGTGCATTCACAGTTTCCTTTTTCCCAAAGTCTGAATTTACATTCTAGCCCCTTTGATCATACTCCTACACAAAATTCCAAACTGTGAATTCAAATTTTCCTTTTTCCCAAAATATGAATTCACATTTCCCTTTTTCCCAAAATGTGAATTCACATTTTGCTTCTCCCCACAATGTGAATTCATATTTTTCCCTGGCTTTGAAGATCCCCAAAATTGAGGAGCAGTGTTTCTGATTTCAGGTTGGCTGGGCAGATTTTGACACTCACCTCACCGCTGTCGTTTATTCAAACTTTGTTGTTGCGCCCTCAGCGCACGCTGCCTTCGCTGCCTTTCCCGAGCCCCCCGCCCCCTTGCTTCGTTTACCCTCAAGTCTCGCGCATGGGTGCAGGCGGGAAGCTTCAATTGGCTTCCCCGCCGAACACAGCAATCGAGGATGTATCGCCATGCATGGCCCAGAAAAACACCATTGCCGGGACCCTTCGCCCGACCCCCACTTTCACCTTCCAAGAGGAGGCGGAGGCGGAGGAGGAGGAGGAAGAGAAGGAGGCGGAAAAGGAGGAGGAGGAGGACGAGGAGGAGTAGGTTTGTAGAGGGAGAGGAGGAGAGAGGGCGAGCAGGGCGACGGATGGGGGGTGCGGATGGGAGAAGGAGAGGGGGAGGCGAGGACCAGGGAGGAGTGAAGGAGGGGGGAGGCGGGAGGAGGAGTCGCAGGAGGGAGGAACCGGGAGGAGCAGTAGGAGGAGTATTCTCTTGGTCGGCTCCTGCCGCTACCTTGCGTCGCCCGCCTCGCTCGCCGGGCTCCCGCGGCAGCGCCTCGCCTCGCCCTCCACCGCCGATTCTCGCCGCGCCGGCCCTTCTGCCGCCGCGGCCGCCGCGCCGCGCCGCTGCCGCCCCACCTCCGCCTCCGCCGCGGCCGTCCGCTTCGGCCACTGCTGCTGCGGTCGTGAGGGGCGTGGGCGGGAGACCGTGTTGGCTCAGATGTGCCCTGAAGGCGGCGCAGAAAGCAGGCCACCCCCCCAGCGGGGCCTTAGAGGGGCCAGGAGGCGGGGGGGCGGGGGCGTCCGTCATGCTGGTGCTGCTGCCGCTGCTGTTCCTGCTGCCGATGGTCGTGCCGCGAGTTGCGTGGCGAAAGCAGACGGGAGGGAGAGACGGCGCGATGAGGACGATGCCGTGCTGCCCTTCCTCCTGCCGTCTCCTCAGATGCTCCTGGTGCCCCTGCCTGCGGCCTCGCCTCCTGCTTGATCCGGCGTCGCTGGCGAGCGTGCCCCGCGCGGCCCCTCGGCGGTGCTGCGTTGCAGTGCCGCCTTGCTGCCCGACCCCGGTGCTACGCCGTGCTGGCGCAACCTCTCCGGGGGCCCCTCTGGGCCTTTTGTGGGCCCTCTCCCCAGGGCCCCTCGGGAGGCCCGTGGCCGCTCTGGGGGCTGCCGTGGGCCTTTTTGTTTGGGGGCGGGGGGATGGGGCCATCTTTCGCTGCCCTGGGGCCGTCTTGGGACGGTATTCAGGGGGAGGTGTTGGGCTGATACCTCCTGCTGCTGCTCATCGGATAGGGTTCGGCTCCGTTGCGACGTGCGTCGCCCTCCGATTGCTTTTCCAATCCAAGCCTTTCTGTACACAATAGTTCTCATCCTGCGTTAAAATGATGGGCCGTCTTTCGAGACATGTTCGTTGCGTGTCCCCGCTTCTGTATCAGTCCGTCGCCACTCGAACCCAACGGGGTACGATTTATTTTCTCCAGTTAGCATCCCGATCCGCGTGCAAGGTGTCTGGCATCGTCGCGTTCGTTCTCTTCTGAAAACAAACAAATCCTGCTTCAATGATGTTCCGCTTTGGCTTGGGTCCCCTGCGCCCGTAAGTGTCGTCGCAGTATTATTTAGCCAGGGTCCTTGCGCTGACGCAGCAGACTTTCCATCTGTGCTTTCTAAAAGGCTCCCGTCCTCCGACCTTGACTAAGAGAGGAAACGGATAAGGATAATGATGAGAATGAGAGCGAGGACGATGACGAGGATCAAGATGACGATAAGGACGAGGACGATGATAATGATGTTGATGAGGATGATGCTGACGATGCTGATGAATGATGCTGGTGCTGATGATGATGCTGATTCTGATAATGATGATGACAATGATGATGTTGATGATGATGACGATGATGACGATGACGGTGACGATGAGGATGCGTATGGCGATGATGGTGCCGATGACGATAATGTTGCTCTGCTGATGTTGATGACGAAGACGATGCTGCTGATGCTGGCGGTATTGACGACGACAATGAGGATGATGATGTTGATGATGCTGATGATGCTGATGATGATGATGGTGATGATGGTGATTGTGAGGGTCAGGGTGAGGGTGGTGGTGGTGGTGATGGTGATGGTGATGGTGATGGTGATGGTGGTGGTGATCGTGGTGTTGGTGGTGGTTGTGATGCTGGCGGTGGTGTTGGTGATTATGATGAGGATGACGATGGTGATGCTGATGCTGATGATGATGCTGATGATGATGACGATGCTGCTGATTATGATGATGCTGCTGATGATGATGATGATTATGCTGATCATGATGCTGATCAGGGTCATGATCATCATGATGATGCTGCTGCTGATGATGCTGATCATGATACTGATCATGATCATGATCATGATGATTATGATCATGATGATGCTGCTGATGATGATTATGATGCTGATTCCCTACCTAGGCTCTGCTTAGAAAGGTTCTTACTCTATGGGCTTAAAGGGCCGGGCAGTGGACCCCGCCCCGGGCGGTTCCCCCAGGATCCGCCACGCGGTTCCCCCAGTTACGCCCCCTGGGTTCACCCAGCTTAGCTTAGCTAAGCTTAGCTTAGCTTAGCTTATCTCATCTTAGCTTAGCTTAGCTTAGCTTAGCTTTGCCTAGCCTAGCGTAGCTTAGTTTAGCTTAGTTCAGCTTAGCTTAGCTTAGCTCATCGTAGCTTAGCTGAGCTGAGCTTAGCTTGGCTTAGCTTAGCTTAGCCTAGCCTAGCTCAGCCTTTAATCTTAGCTTAGCTTAGCTTAGCTTAGCGCAGCGCAGCATAGCGCAGCGCAGCATTAGCACAGCATAGCATAGCATAGCATAGCCAATCATAGCATAGCATAGCATAGCATAGCTCAGCATAGCTCAGCATAGCATAGCATAGCATAGCATAGCGCAGCATAGCATAGCCAATCATAGCAGATCATAGCATCGCTTAGCAAAACACAGCGCAGCATAGCATAGCATAGCACAGCATACCATAGCATATCATAGCATAGCATAGCATAGCATAGCGCAGCATAGCATAGCATAGCACAGCATAGCATAGCATATCATAGCATAGCGCAGCATAGCATATCATAGCATAGCCTAGCATAGCGCAGCATAGCATAGCACAGCATAGCATAGCGCAGCACGGCATCCACTATTGCTGCTTTCCTAGAGGCTCCAACTCCTAGGTAGGGTCGCACTGGGATAAGTGTGATTCTGATGACGATTATGCTGATAAAGCTGATGATGATGCTGATGGTGATGCTGATAATGACGATGCTCATGATCATGATGCTGATGATGATACCTATGATGATGCTGATACTGATGCTGGTGATGATGATGCTGATTATACTAATGATGATGGTGATGATCATGATCATGATCAAGATCATGATCATGATATGGATGATGCTATGGACAGGTGAGGAGGAAGAGGAGGAAGGGAAGGAGGAGGAGGAGGAGGTGCAGGTGGCTGAGGAGGAGGAGGACGAGGAGGAGGAGGAGGACGAGGAGGAGGCGTAGGAGGAGGAGGAGGGGGAGGAGGAGGAGGAGGAGGAGGAGGAGGAGGAGGGGGGATGGAGGGATGGAGGGATGGATGAAGGGATGGGGGGTTGGAGGGATAGAGGGATGGAGGGATAGAGGGATCGAGTGATGATGATGATGCTGATGATGATGATGATGATGATGATGATGATGATGATGATGATGATGATGATGATGATGATGCTGATGCTCATGCTGATGATGATGATGATGCTGCTGATGATGCTGATGATGATGATGATGATGATGCTGATGATGGTAATGATGGTGCTGGTGCTGATGATGATGATGGTGGATATGATGGTGGTGATGATGATTCTGGTGGAGATGACGATGGTGATGATGCTGGTGATGCGGATGATGCTGATGATGATGGTGGACGACTGATGAGCAATGATGATAGTGATGACGATGATGCTGCTGGTGGTGATTATGATGCTGATGCTGATCATGATGCTGATGATGATGGAGATGGTGATGGTAATGGTGATGATGATGATGATGATGATGATGCTGATGATGATGATGATGATGGTGATGATGCTGATGCTGATGATGATGATGGAGATGACGATGGTGATGATGATGATGATGCTGATGATGATGATGATGCTGATGCTGATGCTGATGCTGATGATGATGATGCTGATGATGATGATGCTGATGATGATGAAGCTGATGATGCTGATGCTGCTGATGACGTTGCTGCTGCTGCTGTCCATGGTGATGATGCTGCTGCTGATGATGATGATGCTGATGATGATGATGATGATGATGATGATGATGATGATGATGATGATGATGATGATGCTGATGCTGATGCTGATGCTGATGCTGATGCTGATGCTGCTGCTGCTGATGAGGAGGAGGAGGAGGAGGAGGATGAGGAGGAGGAGCAGCAGGAGGAGGAGGAGGAGGAGGAGGAGGAATTGGAGGAGTTGGAGGAGGGGGAGGGTCCTCGACCTCATCGTTCCATATTTTGCACCCACGGGGTTCAATGGGGTTCAGTCTGACCTGGGTAGCTCCCTCTGACTGCACCCGAACGTGACCTTGCCCAGGCACTTCGCACGAATCCCGCCTTTCAGCCCGAAATCCAGCTTCCGCTTCCTCGACGTGGATCTCGTACCCGCAGACGTTGGCAATCGGCAGCGTCGAAGGTTGGCCTTCCGAGAGTCGCTCGGCACGGGCAGCCTCTTCTGGCGCGAGGAGTCTCTGTGGACAAGCACACGCCGACACTGGCGCGCGTCCTGAGGATCATCGGGCTCCTAGGTTTAAGTCGGGCGTGTCCCTCTACAGGGGGAATGTTCAAAAATAGTCAACAATAGTATTGGGACGATTTTTTGACTATTGTTGCCCTTTTTGGAGGTATGTTTTGAGCATTTTTCATTTTACGCCCAAAATCCCCCTGTAGGGGGACACGCCCGACTTGATCCTGGATGGGCCGTCCTCTGGGACATGCCAGCGCGTCGCTCGCTCATGGTTGTTGCTTCGCATGGTGGAGTTCCCTTTCCCTCGGTTGGGAAGCTGGCACTGTTCACCGCCAGTGCATCGGGTAGATCAGCATTGTAGGCGAGGCGCGTCTGTGAGTCTGATTGCGCGTTTTCGCAAGGAATCTCGTTGTGCAGCCAGTGCCCGCATCGGAGATGGATTGTCGCGATGAGCTTTGCTCCATTCTCTTTCAGGTGAGTTGTCGTCCTTATTCGGGTCGGTCATGGCCAAGGCACTCGTTTTAACATGCAATTATTTTTTTATATTTAGGCATCAGGCCGATCTCTATATCTCTCAGAGCTTCCGGCTTTTCGATTTATCCAATGGCCTTCGGCCCATCCTGCCAGCATGCCTGGGTTGAGGGTCATAGGCCTCTAGGTTGTTCGTTGGGATGTTTGTCCCTAGGGACCCTCTTGGGACGCCTCCTGGAGGCCTCTTGGGCATCTTCTGAGGCCTATTTGGGATCTCTTGAGGGCCTGGCTTGGGGCCGCGGTCTCAAAATGTCCGTTGGGGGACCCTGCCTCGGTCCCCTGTGGGAGCCGTTTTTGGGGCCTCTTGGGCCGTCTTGGAGGCCTTCTGGAACGTCTTGAGGCCCTCTTGCGCTGTCTTGGGGCCGTCTTGGGGGCCTCTTGGGCCGTCTTGGGGCGATCTTGGGGTCCTCTTGGGCCGTCTCGGGAAGTCGAAAATGCGAGTACCCCGGAAAACCTTCAAAACCAATGGAAGCGCTATGATGTTTGCCTCTTAGGGCTCTCTTGGGAGGCCTCTTGGGGCGTCTTGGAGGCCTCTTTGGCCGTCTGGGGGCTATCTTCGGCCGTCTAGAGGCGCTCGATGACCGTCTTGGGCGCTCGGTGGGGAGCTCCGCGAAAGTCTGCGGGTCGTTGCGCTGCAGCCGTCCCGGAGGTCATGCGGAGCACCTCGGGAGCGCCACGAGCGCCCGAGGAAATGATTGGCAGGGCCTTTCGCTAAAATGCTGGCTGGCTGCAGCATCAGCAGCAGCACAGCCGTGAGCACAATCCTGCTGCAGCAGCAGCACAGCCGTGAGTCGGGGCACTCCACTTCGTGCCAGGGTGGCGGGTTCCGTACTAGCACATTGTTTGCCAAAGTCGTTCACCGAGCAAATGTTGCAGTGGAGTGGTTGGGGAGCCACGCGCAAACGCCGCTCTCTCCAAGGGCACGATTGGCGTTCCCCCAGTGCGCTGGCTCGCCGACCCCTCCGATGTCTTCAACAAGTGTCTATCCAGCCCCCGCTCACAGCGCCGTTTTTTCTCGTCCTCCCTCGCGCCCTCCCTGCCCGATCCCTTCTTCCTTGTCTCCGCTCCTCCTCCTCCACCTCCTCCTCCCATTCCTCCATCTTGTTGTCACCCTCCTCTACTGGCAAGAACGCGAGGAGATCTGCCTCCAGCTCGGTGCAGGAGGTGGGGGACCGAGCACCTGAAGCCAGACCAGAAGTTCTGCGCGCCAAGCGGGAGGACATCTAGCAAGGGGCGTTTGTGTGTGTGTGTGTGTGTGTGTGTGTGTGTGTGCGTGCGTGTGTGTGTGTGTGTGTGTGTGTGTGTGTGTGTGTGTGTGTGCGTGCGTGCGTGCGTGCGTGCGTGCGTGCGTGCGTGTGTGTGTGTTTTCTTGTGTGTGTGTGTGTGTGTGTGTGTCACTGGCCGACCTCCCCGCCTCCCACCCTGTGCAGCTGCGTGTTGCCGCCGTGGCCTCGGCCGTCCTTTTCGTCACTCGTCGCTCTTTGTGCTGCGCCTCCACTTTGCCGGGCTTTGTGCCCCTTCTACCTGCTGTACCGTCGCTGCCCCTGCCTGGGTGATAGTTTGGCCGACCCATTCCACTATGGGGTCCCACACGCTCTGAGCGGCTCCCGCGCGCGCCCGCCCTTTCGGTGAATTGTCAGCCTCGCCGCTGCGCGCAGAGCCGCGACCACCAATGTGTGTGTGTGTGTGTGTGTTTTGGCCTTACATTGTTCACCCAGCTGGTTTGGACGAAGAGCAGGAGTAGAAGCAGGAGCTCGAGTGGGAGTGTACGTGGGAGCCAGGTTAGCCAGGTCCATTCCCACCCACCTCCCATGCGGGAAAATACCCAATGGGTGCACAGCTTGGTACTGGGCTTGGAACGCGTTCCCACCTAGGCAACAGAATGCGCTCACGCACTCGCGTGCGGTCCCACTTCTGACGACCTGGCGAGGGGAACACGTACGGGCCGCGCGCGGGCGGCAGCGACATTTCAAACACCTTTTCGCGGCGCTGCTGTGAGGGCACCATTTGGCCCCTTCTCCACCTTCCGTGTGTCCGATGATCGCGGCGAAGGCGAAGCATGCGCCGCGCCGAGACAGCACTCCCGCTCTCTCGCACAAACTTCGCGGCGCTGTGGCAATGGCAGCAGCTCGCTGGTGCTGCCGCTTCAGTGCGATCCGAGGGATGAAAGACGCGCCGCGCCCAACCAGGAACGTCACTCCCAGGCGACAGCTGCACAAAGTTTGGGCGAGGGTAACGCATCGCCCGCTCGCCCCCAACGACATCGTGCGAGGTGGAAACACCACTTTCAGGCAACATGTGCGCGGGCGCTGAGGCGAGAGCGCCGTTTCAGTGCAGTCGCGCGCGACCCCGCGGCCGACGAAGGGGCGAGCGAAAAGTGTGTGCCGCGCCGCAGCAGGGGCTTCATCATAAGAACACGGGAGCGCGGCGCCGAGGCGAGAGTGACGTTTCGCCCTTTCGCGCGGGATGTGCACCTCGCTCCGATCCTGCGACGCATGTCGCACCGCCGATTCCTGGTTGACTTTCGGTTGGTAGAATGCAGCTGCTTGTCTACACAGATGTTGTGCTGACGGGGGTTGTCTAGGATGCTGCTCGTGAATCGCTACGTGGCGTTTGACGACCAGCTGCGCTGAAATAAACAAAAAGGATGATGATGCTGATGACGATGATGATGCTGATGCTGCTGATGATGATGCTGCTGATGATGATGCTGACAATGTTGATGCCGATAGTGATGACGATACTACTAATGGTGGTGCCGATGCTAATGACGAGTGGTTCGAGAGCATGACGCGAAGGAGGAATGGGCAATACGAATATGAGTTTGAGGATAAGCCACGGGAGGAGCATATGGTTGATGTTCTCGATGTCGGCGTGCTGTCGTCAAGTGTTCTCTGGTGGAGCCTTCGAATCGTTATTTCGTACAGCTGCCTCATTGTTGATGTGAGGTAGGTTGTCTCCTTCAGTGCCTGGCGATGTAGCACATGCGGCAAGCTGAGCACATCCCTTCCGCGAATGAGACGAGAAGGGTGCGGAGGCGATGGACCAGCTGAAGGACATCAACGACATGTCCGATCCTCAGGCTTTGGCACGTTTGAGGAAGGGGAGGAGCTGGAAGATGATGATGATGATAATGCTGATGCTGATGCTGATGCTGATGATGATGATGATGCTGATGATGATGATGCTGATCATGATGATGCTGCTGCTGATGATGATGTTGATGATGCTGCTGCTGCTGATGATGATAATGCTGATGATGATGGTGATAAGGATGGTGATGATGATGATGATGATGATGATGATGATGATGATGATGATGATGATGATGCTGATGCTGATGCTGATGATGATGATGATGATGATGATGATGATGATGATGATGATGATGATGATGATGATGATGATGATGCTGCTGTTGTGATGATGATGATGAGGAGGATGATGATGATGCTGCTGCTGATGACGATGCTGATGCTGCTGATGATGATGATGATGAAGCTGATGATGATGATGGTGGTGATGGTGATGATGGTGATGATGGTGATGATGATGATGATGATGATGATGATGATGATGATGATGATGATGCTGATGCTGATGCTGATGCTGATGCTGATGATGCTGATGCTGATGGTGATGCTGATGCGGATGCTGATGCTGCTGCTGCTGATGAGGAGGAGGAGGAGGAAGAGGAGGAGGAGGAGGAGGAGGAGGAGGAGGAGGAGGATGGTGAGGAGGAGGAGGCGGGCACCATGAGCGGAATTCCACGCGGACCGCAGGAGGCAACGCCGCACCAGTAAGGGAAACGCTTGACGCTTCGCGTATCCCCACCAGCCCATCCAGAAGCGATGCCCAGGCGAGTTACCCTGACTAGGGAAGTGTAGGACCATGCAGTGGAGCACAGAGGGGGGGGGGGCGGGAGGAGGGGGGACAGCCGTTATCTGTCACAGGAGGAGGTGGAGGTTGGACGAGGACGCGGATGAAGACGAGGAGGAGGAAGAGGAGGAGGTGAAGCAGGAGCAGGACGAGGAGGAGGAGGATAATGATGCACGAGGAGAATGGGGGGCGCATGGGGAGAAGCAGAAGGATGAGAAAGCTGATGAAGAGGCAGAGGATGTGAGAGGATGCGGATAGGGAGGAGGAGGAGGAGGAGGAGGAGGATGAGGGCAAGCAGAAGGATTGGGAACTTGGCGGAACACGTTTCCCCTCACCATCATACTACTTCTAGGTGTGCGGAGGAGGATCATCGTAATGGGGACGAGGAGGCGGACACAGAGGATGAGGATGTGGGAGGATGAGGGTGATGACGAGGAGGGGGGTGGATGGGGGAATAATGCTACATTGACGGTGACATGAACCAATCAGAATAGAGGCCGTCTTGGGTCTTTTTCTCTGGGAGCCTTTTGGAGATATCTTGAAACCATCTTGAGGCGCCTCGATCATATCTCGAGGGCAAGGAAGAGCCTAGGGGCCTTCCTGGGGCCATCGTGGATGACATGCATCACGCAGGGAGGGTCCTTCATTGTCCCCCGTCGGAACCAGAACAATCGTCCCTCGGAGCCTTCTTGGAACGCTCTTGGGGCGTTCTTGCAATCTTGGAACCACCTTGATGCCTCAGAAGCCCATCGGACGCGGAACGGCGAGAACAAGACACGCGTACTCTAACCAGTTTCTTTTCTTTAGGGTTCGGACTCTCTGGGACGTCCTTGAGAGGCTCCGAGGCTAGTTGGAGCCGTCTTGGGGCATCCTTGAGTCCTCTTTGAGGCATGCTTGAGGCTGTCTTGACTCATCTGGTACTACTTTGCACCGTCTTGCAGGCCATTTCCAGGCGTCTGCTGGAGCCCGAAACATCGCCTCTCGGAGCCATCTTGGGGCGTTCTGGGGCGCTCTGGGGGCCGTCTTGAGGCCCTTCGGGGCCCCTCCTGTGGCTCTCTTGGGCGGTCCTGGCGTTATCGAAGACGCCTACGGCGAATCACCGGTGCCCCCTCTCTTTTGGAATCGCCATGTTGCCGAGCGTTGTGGCAAGAGCCCTGCCAAGCTATCGGACCATGTGTTCCCCCAGCCGATGGGGAAACCCTTCGGGGAACACTTGGGGGAGGATGGCGGGGAAGATCCGGAGGACGAGGAGGAAAAAGGAGGGGGCATCTTGGGAGCCTCTGGGTGCACTTTTGGGGCCTCCTGGGAGCCTCTTGGAGGCATCTTCGGGGCCTCCTTGGGCCTCTTGGCGGCCTTGGGGGGCTTCTCTGGGGCTTCTCTAGCCGTCCTAGGGCATTCTTGGCCAGTCTGACGCAGTCGGAAGCCGTCTTGGGAGCCTCTCTGGGCCGACTTGGGGCCCTCTTGGGGTGCTCCAGGGCCGTCTTGGAGGCCATCTTGGGCGTCTTGAAGGCCTCTTGGGCCGTCTTGGGGCCCTCTTGCGGCCGTCTTGGGGGGCTCTTGGGCCGTTCTGGGGCTATCTTGAAGGCCCCTTTGGCGATCTTAGGGCGCCTTTGCCCAGCAGCCCAGTGCCCTCTCCACCCCGATCTTCTCCGCCCCACTCCGCCCCGACCACTTTATTCGGCGTCGCACCTCCCCTCCTCCCCCCAGCGTGACCCCCTCCGCCCCGACCGCTTTATTTTCGGCGTCGCACCGCCCTCACCCAAGCGTTCCCCAGCAGCCCAGAGCCCTCTCCACCCCGCCCCCCCCCACCCCGACCATGTCATTTCGGCGTCGCACCGCACCCACCGCCCTCCTCCTCCTCCTCCTCCTCCTCCTCCTCCTCCTCCTCCTCCAGTAAGACAGCAGTGTGTTTTTCCTGGGATCAGCTTGTCCCAAGCCGGCTGCGGTTCAGGCAGAGAGCGAGGTGAGACGGGAGATGGGCACATGTGATTGACTTCCAGCACACCCCCTCGGAAAATACTTTCCGCACTGTGCAGGTCGCCTGTAAAGCCTGCTACATGCATTCACGGGCGTTAGATACACATGGTGCTCCTACTGCTCTCGCTCAACTCACTTCTGGGCAGAAGCATCCTCGATGCGCCGGCTCACGGCACCGAGGACCTTCATAAGGCTCTCTCATTTAAGGTAAGGAGTATCAGTCAGGACGTCGTTCAGGACTTCGTCCTGCGAGCGCCTCTTCGCCGACACCGATACCGATCGGTCTGCTGACGAGGATGACGAGCGACCGCGCTGGCGGCGGCAGGACCGAGACCGGTCGCGCTGCTCCTTCGGCTCGTCACACCCCTGTGCTTCCCGCTTACCTTCCTTCGGAGGCATTGGCGGCGGTGGCGGCGGCAGCGCCGCTTTCCAGGCTCTGTCCGCTGGTACTTCTGGCCACGGGCTCTTGCGCGAGGAAGTTTATTGAACGGGAACGGCGCCCGCTAGGGCATTAGCCTGATTATAGTCCATCTTGTGGAAGATCGCTGAAGTAAGGTGTTGCACCAGCCGGTACGTCAACGTTTTATCAAGCTGCTCTGGTCCTCCTTGCATTTCTGGTTTCTCAACTATGCTGTAAAAGACATTGCGGTCGGCGCAAGAAGGGCATCGCTTGAAAGCTAAAACAACTTCTTCTGAAATTGTCTGCATTTCGATAGCCAGGCACAACAAGGTGAACCTCTGAGCCGAAATGCTGTCGATACGAATTGTCAGAATTTCATATCGCATGGTGTTGGGAGGCAGAATGCTCATGCTTGCCTACCACACACACAAATCATCTTCTTTGGTTCGTTCAAACGTGCATGTTCGAAAAACTTCGTTCCTAAGTCTGGGCAGTTGTTTGCGCTGGACACCTTTCCCAAACGAGCCCGAGATGAATGGACTAGCTGCTGCACGTGCATATACTTAATATCGACGTGCTTGAGTTTGCCCAGCCCCAAGCGAGAAGCTATCGCTATCCCCGCGGAAGAATCGGATTTAATCCGCACCCTTATTGCCACACCACCAATTTCAGTGAGTATTGTCAGCGCTAATAAACCTTCGGCCGCTCCCGAGGCGATGGCATACAATTCAGCCTCTCTGGAGCTCTGGGCAATCACTGATTGGGTACGACTAAAATTCGTAAGGAGACATGGACCCCCAAACACATAACCGCTAGATGTGGATTTCCGTGTCGTTTTGCACGCAGCCCAATCGCTGTCTACATACACAGCAATGTCGTCTTTCAAAGATCCGCCGTTTTGCAAAAGCAGGCATTCGTGTTTGGTTCCTTGCATATGCCGCATGAGGTGCTTTAGTTTCCTCATGTCCTCCTTCGTGGGTGCCGCTAGTTTTCTCGCAAGTTCTTTCGTCGTGAATTGGATGTCGGGTCTCTCGGTGGGGATGTATTGCATCTTGCCCACTACACAGCGGTACTTGTGATGTTCTTGGCCCGTCAACTGTTCAAATTCTTCTCCAATCGACCCTTGCACAGGCATTGGGGTTTTGTGCCCAGGAGTCGAAACGGCCGAACATCCTTTCATCCCTACTACATCTAAAGCTTCATCAATGTATCCTGGCGCAGGGTTCACTGCAATACCGGTTTCTTCCAACTTATAACACTTACCTACATATGTAAAAACCGATGTGGCATTGAAGCGTTCACCCCTACGGAACAAAACATGCTTTTCAAGCTCATTGAAAAAATCAGTGACGGCATCATCATAACCTACAGTAATGGGATCGTCAACATGTACGCTTAGATACACATTTCTTTTCTCGCTCCAAAACAGTTGGGGGTCACTCCGGCACCGCTTGAAACCCAAACGTTTCACAAGAACCTCAGCTAGAAAATCCTGGAAGTTTTGCGATGCTTTCCGGAGCCCGTTCATTCCTTTCTGCATCTTCCAAATCCAGCCTTGGTATTGGGATTTCCACGGCTCTGGGGGTCTACAAAGCACCCCTTGGTCACTAATATCTGCATGCATGAACGCTACACTAAAATCTCCAACTCTGATGGTGTAGTTCATTCTCATCGCTATTGCTAAAATGATTCTCAAACCTGTTGGGGTCGGGGTTGCCGCGAACACGTCGTCCCGGACCTCTGCCCACTTAGAGTCTTTTGGTACTAAACGTGACCTGACCTCAGTTTCGCCACGTTTCTTGTGGACCCATCTTGTGTTGATGGGT